TTCCTGCAGTAACGTCCCACTCAGCCTCAGTGATGCACACCCTCATCACGCCGGCTCCTGTCTGATTGTACAGACAAACAAATGGTGCATCCAAGGTCAGGAAACCTATCACACTCTGTTAGGATAAGCTGATCAAGAGCAGGACGCATTGATTGGCACAGATGCTCAGAGAAGCACGGGCGTCACATGGCTGCTGATTATTTCTGACATGCAGAGCAAAGATACTCAGGGCTTCAGGCTCACTTAAAGCACAGTGATCTGCATCTGCACCAAGAACAGCTGAGTGGAAACTCAACATGAACACAGTATCGTCTCTGACACGTTTACTTGGCGTGTGATTTAGGTCATGTCTCCATGAAGTTGTATTCCTCAAAAACTTTGGATAATTAAGTATAAAAATGGTTTTGGCCGAGATTTGGAATCATCAAATATTGGGTTAAATTTGTTGTTTTTTTTAATTATTTTAATATTTTTTAGATTTTGTCAATTTTTGAGCCATTTCTTTGTGACCTTCGCTAACATTTGATTTTAACACTGTTGATTTTAAATGAAAGTGAACTCCTTGTCATTGTGACACAGCACACAACCAAATGTGACCTCTGCATTTAACCTATCACCAAAGTCAGCAGGGGGCAGCATAAACACCCGGGGAGCAGAGGGTGGTGACAGTGCCCTGCTCAGTGGTAACTTGGCAGATGGTGGATTCGAACCTGAAACCTTCCAGATCTAAGTCCACTTCCTTATCCACCAAGTCACCACTGACCTAAATTAGCTAAATTAGAAATCAAAATCAAGATTTTTGTGCATTATTCGACCTAAATTAGCTAAATTAGAAATCAAGATTTTTGTGCATTATTTTTCACTCGGTTTTAACAACATGATGATTCCGATGTCATATTTTAGCTTCACTTTAATCTATTCATTAATAAACCATTCTAATAATGTAGAGGTGGATATAGTGTGTTGTTACATAAACATGCACACACCCACACACACACACACAGCTCCCTACCTTGGCCCTGTTGGCTGGAACACTGCTGTAAGGGAACTCCTGTGACACATCCTCCTTCAGGTACCACCACTGGATCTCCAGGGACATGGGCATGGAGCTGACAGCCTTGAAGGCGCAGGGCATCTCCACGTCTTCTCCCTCCCCCACACTCACATCACTGGGGGCTTCAGTAAATGCAGCTGTGGCATAGAGAGAGGAGTGTTTACCTTTAAAACAACTTGATCATTTATCTTTATGTTACACATAAAAAAGGCTTTAATCTTAGGTGTGCATTTGCAACTTTAACTCAGCATTAGGTTTTTTATTGAACAAGAAATAAACACTCTGGCGACCGCTCACTCCCCACACTTGATTGTATAGCCAGAAAATGTAGTTTTTCTCAGGAGGATGAAATCTGGAAAAAATCTTTTCTGTCCGTTTGCCTGAGGCAACACAAATTAACTAAAAAAAAAGAAAAAAAGGAGAAACAAGGCAGCACTTTACCACAGGCCTTGGTGGACAATCAGTGGACACTCGGAAGAAGGACACTGAATTGATCAAATCAGGTCTTTGTGGGGTTTTTTTTTTGTTTGTTTGTTTGTTTTTTGGTGGGGGGTGAGGGAGGTTAAGGTAAGTCTTTTATTAAATGAATAAAATGTTTTGTGTTTTTTTTTCTTGTAATGTTCCTCCTGCAAATGTCTTGGGGGGGGCAGAGAACACACTAAGCTAATCACTGGCTAATCATCAGCACATCTAACAGCCACACTTCGGGAAACAATTACTGAAGAAGCTGAGGAAAAGGAGATTTCTGTGACAGATAAGAGTAAATCCAGGTGTCATTCAGTAAAATCCAGGATTTCTAGCATTTAATTTTTATATTTCATTTCACTACGGCTCTCGAGTGCAAATCAGTAAGTAACTTTTTAAGATGGCCAATAGATCAGTAAACATCACCAAATAGTCACCAAAAGCTTTGAGTAAGAAAATTAAAATAAATCATGTAAAATGTTGCTAGAACAAGTCAAGCACCGTTGCCTATAACATTTTGTGAAATTTAAGCTATTAAGCTCAAATTTTATTGTGTTAGTTTTTGGCTACGTTTTTATCTATTCCATCAAATATAACTAATTAAAGGCTAAAATCTTTTATCTAGTTTTATTTAGGTTTATTGTTATTCACTTACCCTCAGTCGGTTACTGGTCAGTTTGAAGCTAACTGGGTCTTTAACTGTGAAGGTTTGCCTATTTATTAGCAAATGCTAAGGTATATCAGGGGCGACTTATATCTATATACATTGGCTAATTGAACAGTTTTCTTGCTAACATTTCGTTTGTCTGTAATCTTTGGCTAATGGTTCTGTTTAGGTTCCGTCTTTAAATTCTCCGGTGGAAGTTTAGCTTTTATAAACCATTTTTAGCTAAATTTCAAACTTGGACATTTTGCCTTTATTTGTTGATCTTACATTTTCTAAGTTAATGGCTAAGGTTTGTTAGCTAAGCTTTTTTTGGCTAACATTGAGCCATTCAGCCGCCTTTGGTTATTTTATCTTTCTTTTCTGCGAATGGCAGTATTTGTTCTTCTTCATGATGATGTTGAGTTGTGCTATGACAGCGACTTGTTACATACGGTCTTTCTAGTTCTTTTTTAGACTAACATCTGGACTATTTAATATATATATATATATATAGAAGGAGTCAGAGTTTTAGTAGCTGTTCTAAATGAAGTAATAATTATTTTTTCTTCCTCTAGCTAATGCTATACATGGCAAATGATTATTTACCTTTTTTAAGGTTTTTAAGGTTTAAATATTTCTCTACAGTCTCACTTGCATTTTTTTTTGTTATTGTCACAATTTTGCATTTTTGTTGTTTTTTTTTTCATATTTATATTCGTGCAATGACGTTTCCCCGTCATCTCTGTCTGCGTCTCAGTCTGCACCGTGTCATCTGAAGTCTCACTGCACACAGTCAACACAGCAGAGTCAAACGCTTTAAAGCTCAGCGGCTGAATCACTCACCGTTGGCAGGGACCATGAAGGGAGAATTCAGAATAAAGTAAGAGATGAAGCTGTATAGTCCGGTGTATTCCATGTCACAGAAGGACCTGGCATTTGATGGTCACCGTAACCACAGGTTCAAACCACAGGATGTACAGAGGACACTGTCCACAGTCCAACCAGAGGACGTCTCTGCAGCAGCCAGGCAACACGTAGAATCCCACCACAAAACCACATGTCACCGGGGGGGAAACAGAGGAAGTAAGTGGTGTGATTTAATTTAAACTCCACAGTTAATAAAGAGGGAGAGGAAGAGAGAGAGAGAGAGAGAGAGAGAGAGAGGGAGAGAGAGACGTCTGGGAGCAGAGAACAAACTACAGAGTCTGCGAGAGAAAACTGCTCTTCATCATCATCATCCGCTTCAGTGAGGGAGCAAAGCCTCAAGACCGACTCCTACTTTACAGCCTCCGTCTGTGTGCGGGGGAGAGAGAGAGAACGAGAGAGGGAGAGAGAGAGGGAGCGAGAGAGAGAGAGCTGCAACAGCTGCTACTTCTCTCTACTACTGACAAATAGGAATCAAGCTCCTGCTCAGAGCTGTGTCCTTCTCTTTCTTCCTCTCTGATTGGTGAGGTTTGCAAACAGAGGATCTCACTGGTCATCCTCCCACCACTATCCCCCACCTCTCTCTCTCTCTCTCTCTCTCTCTCTCTCTCTGAAAAGAAGAGTGTATGTTCATTGAATCATATATTCCTATATAGAGTATATATTTATATTTATATTTATTTGACTTCATCTCATTCACTGGTGATCATTTGTGTTTGTCAATGAAAGAAAAAAAAATGTCCCTGCATGATTTTTCAGGGATTCTGGGTATTCTTGTCGTAGGTCGAAGCGTCGACCGACATGACTGTTAAATCAGGGCTACATTAAAAGTGTCTAAATCAAAATGATAGCTTTGGCAAACCTGCTGGACGGAAAAGTGCAGTGCATGTTGGCCATATCCTGCTTCCAGAAGGTCAGAGAAATGAATGACTGTCCCCTTCAGCAGTTCCAGAGAGAGAGAGAGAGAGAGAGAGAGAGAGAGAGAGAGCACCAACAGCAGATGATCCACACAAGAACCAAGACTGATCAGTGCTGAAGTGCTTACGTCAGAACAGGAACCACTCCACAGTCTGTACTCCCTGGTCCTCAAGAACTAATCTGTGAAATACAGAAAATAAAATTAGATGATTTCTCTTGTACTGTATACATATATATATATGAAGGTAGGGGGCAGAAAAGTGCAGAAAGGTTTGGTTTGACAAAGTTCACAGGTCTGCCTATAACTTTTCCTCCATTGTGTTTGTGCACAAATCAAATACCTTTCTTCCCTCCTCCTCCTCCTCTCACCCTCTTCCTCCTCTCCCTCCTCTTTCTAAGACCTTAAATCCTGTGTTTTCTCCGCTCCTGTACAACACTCTTCTCTGGGAGCAACAGTAAATGGTTTAATGTATGCGACCAAAGCTCCCACCGTGATAGAGATAATCTGTAGGCAGCCCGAGACACTGGTGAAGGCTTAAACCAGATTATATCCCCATCTGACTGAGACGCTGCTCTGAATGAAAAGCATCATTAAAGCAGATGTTCCAGCGTTATTCTCTCCTCGGCCATTTACACATGACTCCCAGCACAACACGTGGCCACGGTCGCTGGAGCGGAAACATCGTCTCATCAGTGGTAGTTAGTGTTCAACCAGGTCCAACCACTGCAGATGTTCAGGCCTGTTGTACAGACACCTTCACTGCACTGGTTTACTGCTTCAACAAGGTCTAAAAATCTGTTCTTTCAACGTCTCCAAAACATTTTTACTAAAAAAAAGAAGTTTTGAGTTCATCCTGATCTGCGTCAATTTCAAACAATAATCAAGAATCGTTCAAGTACAAACTACAGCTTCTACATTGTCATACTGAAAAGTGAAAGTGAAAGTGAACCATTTGTCATTGTGACACTGGCTTGGGCATTTAACTGCTTGCCCCCCCCCGAAGACCTGGAGGAAGTGTGGGAAGAGGGAAGTCTGGGTGTCCCTGCTCAGACTGTCGCCCCCGCAACCTGGCCCCAGATAAGCGGACAATGATGGATGGATGGAGGGAGGGAGGGATGGATGGATGGATGGACGGATGGATGGATGGATGGATGGATACCTTTTCCATCATAAAAACAATCTGAACAGTCATGGATCAAAAACCCAAAGGTCAGCAGGTCGTAGATTATCCAACATGTTGAAGGGTGAAATATGATTTCAAATTTTTGCCCCGGTGTCGTGTCTTCGTGTCTTCGTGTCTTCATGCCTTCAAATAAGAGTAAAACATGAGAGGAATTAAGGACAGTTATAAAATGTTGGTTTGAAAGTACAAGTCTAGAACAAAATATAATACCCTATATATAAAAACATATATGACTAGATTTACTGGCTGATGTAACAAGTCTACCTGAAATGTTCACTGTGTGAAAGATCCCTGGTAAAAGCCCCCCCCCCCCCCCCCGCCTCCTCCCCCCCGACCGTGGTCCGTTGATCAAAGCCTCCACTGGTACAGTGGTTTCTTGTGGAACTGTATATAGTTCTGAGTGAAGTCTTGGGTTCCTTGTGTTGTCTGTGGAGTGACCTTGGTGAGTCGGTGCCGACGCTTCTCACCCACCGTCCTGGTTCAAATCACACTTCCATCTTAATCACCTCTATTGAAAGAGGGTGGACAGAAGAGCAGACGGTCCATCATTAGAAAAGTCATTTAATTTCAAACAGGAAGTGAAGCAGTCTTCATTAACGCCTTTAATCAGTGAGAAAAATGTCATTCCATTTGGATCTGCGCTCACATCTGCTCACTGTCTTTTTGTAGCACTTGCTGAAATTTGGCTTTTTTTCCTTTTTCGAAGAAGGGACAAATTATGAAGATTAAAAGCCAAATTCAGTGTGAGGTCAGTGACGGCTCACAGACATTCAGCTCGCTCTGTCTGTGCTGGTTTACAAGGAGACAAATGGAGTTTATCTTACGTTTCACAAAACATCAGGTCGGTTCCTTTGACTGAAGAAATGTCTCTGTTCTAATGGAAGTTCACTTGCAAATCTCAGTACTCAGGTGTACACTGGTCTGACAGAATACTGCTTTTATGCAGTATCTTGTACCAATTTTACCAATTAAATTCAGGGTGTTAAACTCATTTTGGTTCAGGGGCCACATACTCACTAACTGGGGCCGGACCAGTCCAGTCATAATGATAACCTAAAAATAACAAAAGTCCATGGCAAATAAATGGCTATTCACATTTATTGAAAAATAAATGTTAAAAACATATCGTGAGCATGAAGTGTATTTTTTTTTTCAAAATAAAGTGTTTGTGTATTTCTTTTTTATTTTCAAAATACATCAAGTGGGCCGGTTTTGGCCCGTGAGCCGTATGTTTGACACCCCAGATTTAAATAATCTCAGTCTAAAACCCTGCACCAGGATACAATACCACATCACCTAACAAAACAGATTTCCAGTTTCAAAAACCTTTCCTGCAGCGCCCCCTTTGGGACTACACTTTTTTTTTTAATACTTGAATTTCTCAATTTTCATTTAACAAATCAAACAACATCAAAAATCAGTGAAATTCTCTCACATTAGGACAGGACGCACCGGGCCCACCACCTCAGCCGATGCTGAAATATCCGTTACTGTCAGGTTGATACTGATACAAAAACTCCATCAAACCATTCGTTAACAAAACTGAAAACCAGGCTGGGATTTAGACTGGAATCATGACCGGTGCAGTGGGTGACATCACTAACAACTGGGATCTGTGTGTGATTGACAGGTGAGATGAAGTAATACTGTCTTTGTGGTCTCAGTCCAGTCTACATGGATACAGTCTAACATATGGACTGTCAGACACCGATCTCTGCTGATCCGTCCAGGTAGGAGAACAATCAGCAGCTGCCGTCACGGTGTCATGTCATTTTGACATCATTGTTGCGGAGTCTCTTTTTCTTTACTGTAATGCGGTGTGAAAATGGACACCTGAACGTCCAGTCTCTGAGGATCCTAATCATCAAATCAGCGCCGCTGTTTTTCTCTCAGCGGCATCTCACTGTGGTAATGTGAGGAGCCAATCTGCTGTCCTCTTGAAAGGGCAGAATTACCTTGAAAAGGATAAGGCTGACAGACTCCACTCCCCCCCCCCCGCCATTTTCACCTCCCCCATCCCATTTTCAGTCAGTTCAGAAAACACAGCAAAGTCCTTCTTTCACTTTGTAGTCCGTGGCTAAATATTACTGGGACGGCCCTCCGCCTCTTTGAAGCAGCGTTATTGATGGAGATGTGGACGTTTGCTGCACTGCTGGCATTGTAACTGAAGATGGATAGGCGACACTGCTGTCCTGAGATCTGCTGACTAGTTGCTCTTTCAGCCCTCCAACAGCACTCTGCAGCTCAGTGTCATCAGACCAACTATAATCCTGCTCACCTGCTCTGGGTGGACCACAGAAACAAGGTGGCGCTCTGAGTATTATCGGCCCGATATTAGCATAATTATGTCAAATCTGTAAGAATCGTTATTGGTTTTTTCCTCCGATCATGAAAGAAACGATCACGCAACGCCTGGGATTTGAAAAATATTCTAGAATCACTTGTTGGATCCTGAGACGTTAACCTCAGTTTTCGGGGCAAACGGCTGC